TCGCAAAATAACAAGGAATGACCGGGAAATCGATGTCAAATAATTCTCGCTGAATTCAAATTCCGAAAGAATTATCAATTGCAAACGTTAGATACTGCAAAAAGGAGTTAACTGGCAAAATTTGAAAGGCGTACTTGATCTAGATACTTTTTTTCTTGATACATTTCTTTGTATTTTTCACGCGCGTCACGCACTGATGACCCCGGAAATGATAACAAATTTGTATTGAAATTACAAAGAAATGTATAGAGAACTAAAAATGAGTTTACTCGCTCTCTAGATCAAGTACGCCTTTCAAATTTTGCTCCTTTTTGAGGTATCTAACGTTTGCAATTGATAATTCTTTCTGAATTCAGCGAGAAGTATTTGACATTGATTTCCTGGTCATTCCTTGTTATTTTGCGACACTTTGCCTACCGGAACAAAATGGTGGTCGAAACCGTCACCTCATCTATTGAACAGTCTTGCATTACTTCTCCCTTCCCTAAACATTGTTAGCATAATAGTCTAACAAGCACCCAGCTAGTATGTGTGATTGCTGAAACATAACTTTAAGTATTTGGCAATTGTACAAAAATTCTCAAAAACAAACACTGTCTTTGTCCAGGCYCCAGGGGAGGAGGAAGGTTATTAGAGTAGAGGTTGTTGTACGACTTCCATATATGGATGTCCATATTCATGGCTTTCATGTCCCTATAGATGGTTCATTAATTATATATTCAATCTTATGTACATATGCGTGGTTATTCATGCATGCCGTTGCATAAATATCACAAAAATTCATGTTCACTCAAGCGAATTGGTCTCGTGGCTTAATGGTTAGGTTTAGGGATAATATCGGGTTAGGCAATACATAGCGCTGGTTCGAATCTTAGTACTCGTTCTTCAAAAATTTCTTTTCAGTTTAAGTTTAAGTGTTTGAAATTTTCTAAGTTCTTCTCCACGTAATTGGGACATCAGCGCCTTCTATGTGCACATAAGCGCCTTCTATGTGCACATCAGCGCCGTACATGCACAACCATATATGGAAGTCRTACGACAAACCCTTCTCGGTTATTAATGCATAACTATTGTTTTTCTTTTAGATTGATGACCCTAGTTTACCAGATGATTACAGAATACTTAAATAAGCAATGTCAATCAATCAAGATTGTTGTGTAAATAATGTTTGAAGTATTGATTGATAGCAAATGACTTTGCGAAGCAAAGCACTTTGTGAAGCAGAAGTCACAGTTTTTCTCTAATAAATGTTGGTAAAGTTGACAAAATTGTATGCAAAATATAATACATTGTTTACTTTTTCAAATATTTATGAACTGTTGGTAGAAAAAGCTATGAAATGAGATTGTTGATATATTTTTATTACTTGGGCCTATATTGAGGGATTTATTGAGAAGATTTTCCATATGGAAGCAGGAACAATGAAGAAGAACCAGTGCACATTTCACAGGGATTTGTGGATAGTCATTGTAATAAGAATGGTGTATTGAGCCATTAAGAAGAATGTTATTTTTTATTTCGTCATGCGTACTCTGTGAAAAAAAACGCGTGTTATTTTCACTTTCAAATGTAATTCCTCTTTTACAATTTCAAGGGACGTTTAACTGGTAAATCAGTTTAATTTGGCATTAGGTTTATGTATTTTGTCTGCCTCAGCTCAGTGAAGTTCATACATCTATATATATCATATGAAGTCTTTCGTTTTCAAGTTGTCGATCATATTCTGGCATTTAACCAGTTGTAACAAAGAATTGATTTCGAAAGAGCAACGGTCTTGAATCATTTGCATTGCGGGTAGAGAAAACTTCTTGCTTCGTTGGGAATCAAAAGCAACTCGAATCTAAATAATCCTTTCATTCGAGATTTGTGAATTATTTCAGGGAAGAAGCAGTAAACGAAAATAAGTTGAATTCTATGAAGGACGTTAAGAAGAACGTACCGTTCATTGATTTTACATAATGTCATCAGTCAAATTGTGTAAGTCTTTTTCACAATTTTTCAACCCCGACGCCACAAACGACGTTTGGAAAAAGACTGGTCGATTTATATCAAAAATAAGGTATGGCACACAAAAAAACTATTTTATTAGAGAGCGGAAACGATTGTTTTATTGTGGATTGAACTGAAAGTGCGTAAAAAATCATGGGATATATCGTAGAAGTGAGGTAACTCTTGAATACATGAGTAAGGCCGCAAAGGATGACTGGGATTGGTTCCGTAACGCTWCTGATGACCCGTATGTAACGGCCAACCAAATGTTTTTCGTGTCTTAACAGCAAMAACGCAGATAAACTTTTAACAATTCCAATCTCTGACGTAAACTGGCTTCCTGCAAACTCGAGAGTCACGATTATAGCTGGCGCGTGACTACCATGTCCACATCATGTCCAGGTGGAAGTCTCGTCATGTTTATCTTATAATATTGAGGTGTATTTTCCTTGATTTTCCGTTTATATTTACCTGTAAGCTTGAACTGGGAATTATTTTGMGCTAAATTAGCATTTAGCCGAGGTTACAATCGGTTTATTGCTTGCATGCTTTAGTGCACGCGTGTCTGCTTACGTGTCCAGATAATCAGTTGCATAAGCATTATATAATAGTCACCGGACTATTGCGGAGTTGCCAAAAACCCTTATGCTATTCAGTATTTCTTATTTCTCGACAAAGCACCCGCGACAACACTGAAAGCTACCGTAATGCCAGGACTGTCAAAACTTAGTTCCTTCATACGATTCCTGATAAAAAGGTACATATAGTTGTTTCCTGGTATTTCCTGGTATGAAATGTGACTACTGTAAGGTGTTTTAAGTAATTGTTTGGTGACACTTCAATCACAAACTCTTTCTTTTTACATAGTCATAGCATGCCATCAGTAGTAATTCAAATTTATGGTTGAATTTTGTCAACGTGTAAATATTAGTCGCACAGGAATTTGATTTACCATTACATGTAACTCGCTTAACGGTCGTTTTTCGCCAGGCAGTATTATAGTTCAGTAAAGTAACTATCGCCCAATTTCACTGTCAGACTCAGTCTTAGCGTATTCTTGTATACGGCTACACCTGTTCCACAATTTTTCTCACATAATGTTACAAAGGTTTTACAAAGCTAAGGATTGTAGATTTTTTTTTATTTGTTACACATGCTGATGCATTCATCACATGGGTATCAGTCGCGTCGCAGTGAACATTCCGGATGCAACGCAGGCCTAGCRACTGTAGGTATGATCGGTATACGCTGTGATATATTGACATTAGATTTCGATTTGCTGTCTAGTGGCGTAGAATATTGAAAATTTCAAGATTTCTTAGAGTTTTGGCTCAAATTTTTCTTTTTCTTTAGTTCTCGCTACGCCAATGTTCCGAGYATTGTCCATCTTTTTTTCACAACGCTCTGCCCTTATATTAAAGCTTAAATTTACCTCCAAAGACTGACCAAAAAAGGGCAAAGTTGGCAAAAACACGATCGAAAAATGTGTTTTTCTTCTTATGCGAAAGAGTCGATGATGTCATCATGACGTAAACAATGAAACGTGACGTGTATGAGTAGGCGGCCATTTTGTTTGTCCCAGTTCTTTCTTGACGTGACCTTGCTGCAAAATGTTGTATGCAAATGCAAGGTACAGCAGTGTTGTCATGGATTTTTTTAGCCGTGAGCGAACTATTTAAGTTCAGAAAAGATTCTTTGAGCTAAGAAATGGCTTGGATTGCAATTAATCGAGCGAATTTGGACGATCATAGTCAAATGATCGATGTTGACAGTGGATTTGGCGACGAGATCGACCATGGAGATCGGAAAGCTTTTGAAAAGCAGCTTGCAAACTCCTTTAGGTATGTCGAAGAACCAGTGTTCATGTACCTCCATGGTTTGTGATAGAGTGTATTTGATGTGTAGGAGAATAGGGTAGTTAGTTATTACATAGAGAAAGCATAAATCTTCGTGATTAAGATATCGTTTATGATTTCTTAATACTATAACTTAAGAAATAGGCTTACATTTGTGTTACTTTGTACTCCATGGTTTGTGAGACGTGTATTTGATGTCTAGGAGAACAAGTTAGTAAGTTATTACATAGAGAAAGCATAAATCTTCGCGTGATTTGAGATATTTAAAGGTRTTGATTTCTTATTATTTAAGTAAATAGTAAATGTTATTTGTAACTAAAGTTACACATTTAGAATGAAAGTGAGACAGCTATGGTTAATAAGTATCACTCTTTATAATGGCATCAAACTGATCGATTAATGTTGAAACTCAAGGGTGAAAGTGCATCATTGCTATACTTGTATTGAAATATTGTAATACGTAGACTTATTTACCCCAAATCAACTGAATTTTGAATATTCAATGTTGGCTTTGTCTCACAATATCTGCAATATCATCTTGAAATCTATTGTATCAAATCTATCTGAGACATCAGTTGAACCTTTAGTCATGATGGACAACTGTTGACACCAAGACAGAAACATTTTAAAAATCCCACCTGGCTAGAACCTGTCATTGCAGACCCATTGCAGGCAACCAGCTATCATCTCACCTATGAATATACAACCCTCTCTAATGATTCTGAGAACTGTACAACAAGTATTGTACAAGTCAAAATATTTGTTCCCTTATGAGAACAAGAGGCATTTACTGAGAGAGACTTATAAATGTTCAGACTTTGTGAATGTCAAATTTTTATTGTGTAAGTAAAAAAGAAATTTGAGATGACTTAGTGAAACCCAAGAATTGTTACAGTAACATCTAATACAGGTCATAATGTCAACTCTGTTAAGCAATCACSGTCTAACAGCAACTGACTAAAATTCTGTTAGTTGTATAGTACAAATATCCTCCTGAAAAAAATTCCCTAATGATTACATGGACACCAATGTCAGTATATTAAAAATCTAAATAAAATCTGACTGAATAAATATCAACAATTATGATAATAACTTTAATCCTTTCTATAACAGTTGATACATAGGATACAGAATATCAAAATACAACAGTATCATAAG